TACTATGGGCACAATTTCTGTTATGTGAGAAATTATTTCTGATTTCATTTTTTCCAGATCCTCTTTCATTGCCAGTTCAGGCAGTCCAGGTAGTTGAGTATAAGACTGTTCCATCTTGTTTCCCTTTGGGGTTGCTTTAGGTGATCTGGAAGTCTGGTTTTGAGACTTGTTTACATGTCTTCTCATTTCAATGGGGGTAACGGGGTGGGGAGGGATGTGTGCTGCTGGCGCCTGTCAGGCTTACCTCCTCTGCGCTGGGGGCAGCTCTGTTCCTTGGTGCTGGGGGTGGTGGTATGGCAGTCAAACTATTTATTTATTTTGTTTGGTACCAGGGGTCGAACTCGGGAACTTGTGCTTGCAAGGTAGGTGGCAGAATCATTGAGCTAAATCCCCGGCCCCTGAACTATTTCTTTTACTGTCAACTTTTACTTTATGTATTTTTGGGAGACCTGTTGCTAGATATGTATATATTTATAATTATTACAGCTCTTTGACATCTTTTATCTTTAAAAATTCTCCTTCATCTCTAGTGAAGTTTTCTAGTGATAGTTTGTCTCTAGTGATAATTCTTACATTTTTTGTTTTTTTAAGACAGGGAGGATCTCACTATGTAGTCCAGGTTGTCCTTGAACTCAAGGTGGTCCTTCTACCTTGGCCTGGGCAGTGCTAAGGATTACAGGCATATCCACTATACCAGGCAGGCAGTTCTTATGTTAATGAATATTTTTTTCCATTATTAACATAGCCACCCCAACTCTCTTATGGTTACTGTTTGCATAATATATGGTTTTCTGTACTTTTATTTTGTTCTATTGAGACATTATATACATATAGATATATATATCAGAGATGTATCATATATACATATATACGGTAATTAAAAAAAATCTACCATGTAATTTTTTTGGGGGGGGTACTGGGGATTGAACTCAGGACCTTGTGGTTTCAAGGCAGGCGCTGGAACCACTGAGCTAAATCCCTGGCCCACTACCATGTAATTTTTAAGTGTATAATTCAGTAAATAAGGTGTATTTATATTGTTGTACAACAGATCCCCAGAACTTTTTCATCTTACAATACTGAAACTGTACCCATTAAACAACCCCCTATTTCTCCCTCTCTCAAGGCCCTGGGAACTGTAATTCTTCAGTCTGCTTCCATGAATTTGACTAAATACTTACTATAGGAAGGACCATACAGTATTTGTCTTTTTGTTAACTGCCTTATTTTTACTTAGCAGAATGTCAAGATTCTTCCATGTTTTAGCATGTAAGTGGACTTCTTTCCTCCTTGAGGCTGAATAATACCCACTATATATATGTATATGCAGTGCTTCATCTATCCTCTATCTGCCAATGGGCATCTGGGTTCCTTCCATCTCTTGGGTATTGTGAGCAATGCTGAATATACAAATATCTCTTTGAGATCTTGCTTTTATTTCTTTTTTTTTGTTTTTTGAGAAAAAGTCTCACTATGTAGTTCAAGCTGGTCTTGATCTCTCACTATGTAGCCCAGGCTGGCCTCAAATTCACGGAGATCCTTCTGCCTCAGCCTCTGGAGTGCTGGGATTACAGGTGTGCAGCACCACACCCAGCTTATTTTTTTGAATATATACCTAGGAGTGAGATTGCTGGATCATATGGTGATACTATTTTTAATTTTTTGAGAAACTTTTCCATAGAGACTACCCATTTTACATTCCCACCAGTGCATAAGATTTGTTTCTCCACATCATCACAGCATGCTATTGTTAATTTAAAATAGCTATCCTGGGGCTGGAGATTTAGCTCAGTGGTTCCACTGCCTGCCTCACAAGTGCAAGGTCCTGAGTTTGATCCCTAGTACCAAAAAATAAATAAAAGCTATCCTAATGTGTATGAAGTGATATCTCATCATGGTTTTGATTTGTAATGTCTTACTGTTTGGTGATGCTGATCATTGCCAGCCATTTGTGTATCATCTTTGTAGAAATATCTATTTGTCATTTGCCCATATTTATTTATTTATTTATTTTGGTACCAGAGATCAAACTCAGGACCTTGCACTTGCAAGGTAGGTGGCGGAACCACTGAGCTAAATCCCTGGCCCCTTGTTTTTATTTTTATTGTTTTTTGTTGTTGTTGTTGTTGTTGTTGTTGTTTTGGTGACAGTGTCTCACTATGCAGTTCAGGCTGGGTTTTAAAAATTTTTTCAATTTGTTTAATTAACTTATTTTAAATTGTTTATTGGTACATTTTAGATATACAATATGCTGACATTCATCATTGGAAATTTGTACCTTTATGTAATTTATCATCTAGCTTGGATTTTTTTGGTACTGGGGATTGAACTCGGGACCTTGTGCTTGCGAGGCAGGCAGTGGAACCACTGAGCTAAATCCCCAGCCCAGGCTGGTTTTGAGCTATGTAGCCCAGGCTGGCCTCAAACTCACGGCGATCCCTCTTGCCTCAGTCTCCGGAATGCTGGGATTACAGACATGGGCCACCATGCCTGGCCTTTGCCCATTTTTAAATATTTATTTGGGGTTTGTTGTTGTGGAGTTATAGGAGTTATGTATTTGGGATATTAACCCCTTATCAGGTATATGATCTCCATCTACAATATATTTTAGTTATATTACTAGTGGTTGTTCTAGGGGTTATATCCAACTACTTAAAATTAATATTCTGGCAAAGTCTAGAAAATTTATTGTAATGTAGCTCCATTTTTCTTCCTCCTGTGTGATTATCATATATATTACATTATATTTTAGGAACCCAAACATACATAGTATAATTATTAATCTTATGCACTTTTTTGCCTTTTAATGAAGTTAAAGAGAACACAGAAGGGTCTTCTTATTTTATTTTTTTTAGTATTGGGGATTGAACCCAGTGTGGTTTTGCACTGAGCTACATCATCAGCCTTTATTTTTGAGACAGGTTCTAGGTCACTAAACTGTCCAGGATGGGATTGAAATTGTGATCCTCCTGCCTCAGCCTCCTGAGTAGCTTGAGATTACAGGCATATGCCACCACACCTGACTACACAGTTTTTCTTTCTTTTTTGTTTTTTTTTTTGGTACCAGGGATTGAACTCTGGTCCTTGCGCTTGCAAGGCATGCGACTGAGCTAAATCCCCAGCCCTACACATAGTTCTTAATATTTATCCATATGTTTACCTTTCCCAGTGCTGCTTGCTTGTGTGTTGATCTGAATTACTATCTGGCATAGTTTCTTCTCAGCATGAATGATTGCTTTGAGTACTTCTGGTAAGGGCTGGTCTGCTAACAGTGAATTTGCTCAAAATTTTCCCTTGTTCTGGGATAGTTTTGTTATCCTTAAAGGGTAGTTTAAGATTCTTGACATTTTTTTTTTTCTTTAGTACTTTATGTATGTCACCTCACTGCCTCCTGGTGTACATTGTTTCTGACGAGAAGAAAGCTGTTGTTTTGTTGTTCCTCTGTATGTGACAAGTTTTTCTAGCTTCAAGATCCTTCAGCAGCTTGGGTCTGATAGATCTCTGATAAATCCTTGGTTATCCTACCTGGGGTTTGTGGAGCATCTTGGATCTGTAGTTTGTTTTGCATCACATTTGGGAAGTTCTTGGACAGTTTTTCTGCCCATTTCTCTCTCTCCTGTCTTCCAGTACTCCTTGTATATGTCCATATTGGTGCACCAATGTTGCATAGGGTTCTGAGGCTCTGTCCACTTTTCATTCTTTTTTTTCTCTGTTCTTCATAATTTGACAAGTTTCCAGACTCAACTCATCTTCTCAGGTCTGTTGAGCTCCTCAATTCAATTTTTCAGAATTTTCTTTTTTTGAAATTTAGGCAAAATATACATAACGTAAACTTTACTATTATAAGTTTTTAAATGTATCCTTCAATGGCATTAAGTACATTCAGGGTTGTATAGTCATTCCCATTGTCCGTCTACAGAACTTTATCACTCCACACTGAAACTTTGCACTCATTAAATATCAGTGGTCCACAACTTTTTTCGCATCAGGGACTGGAAGACATTTTCCAGACTGGAACAGGGTGGTTTTGGGATTAGGTTCTCATAAGGAGCATACGGCCTAGATCTGTTGCCTGTGCAGTACTTAGTGGGATTCATGCTCCTACAAGGCTATACTATTCAGGCAGAAGGTGGAGCTCAGGCGATAGCTACTCTGGTGGGGACTCTGGTGTTACAGTTTTCCCATTTCCTCTTTCCCCTGTCCTTAGTAATCACTGTTTTACTTTTTGCATCTGTAAATGTCACAATTCCAATTATCTCATAGAAGTGTAATTATATTTGTCCTTTTGTGTCTGGCTTATTTTGCTTAGCCTGCCTTCGAGGTCCATTCATGTAGTAGCACGTATCAGAATTTTGTTCAGAATTTATTTTTAAAATAATTTCTTTATTGAGGCTACTGGTTAACTTGTCGCAACACAATTTCCTTTACTTCTTTAAATGTGGTTTTCTTTAGTTCTTTGACCATATATATTCAAGGGGTGCTAGAGATTGAACCCTGAGCCTCATGCATGTTGACCATGTGCTATACCACTGAGCTGTGTGCGCCCCAGCTCCTGGTTATGTGAACAGTTGCTCTGAAGCATCTATCTGGTAGCAGTTCAACATCTGGACACACACAGAAAGTGTGTTGACCTTTTTTTCCTCCTGAGGATGAATTATACTTGTTTCTTTGACTGTCTCAATTTTTTTGTTGAAAACTGGGCATTTTGATAATATATTATAGCAATTATAGGTTCTGGATTTTTTTCTTCCTAAAGTTCTTTCTTTTTCTTTTAAAATTTTGAGACAGGGTCTCACTAGGCAGAGTTCAGGGTGACCTCGAACTTCTGCTGATCTCCTGCCTCAGCCTCCCGAGTGCTAGGTGTGAGGCATCGGGCTCGGTGTGAGCCATCGTGCTCGACTAAAGTTGGTTCTTTTTATTTTTTCTTAATTTGACTGGACAAAATCTGTGAATTGTTTCCCCCATGGTGTACAGGCAATGATGTTTCAATCAATTTTTCCTTTTAAAATGTTATTTTTGTTTAGCTTCACAGGGATTACTTTGTGCCCAAGAGCTGGCCACTCAACAGACAGATGAGCTCTGAGCCAGTAAGGCTTCCACTTCTGTTGTCTATTTGTGTGTGTGTGGGGGGGGTAGTTCAAAACTTAGGGAGTTCTGGCTTTTGTCTTGTATTTTTCTTCATGTGCCCAGAGGTTCACAATTAGTCTCTGAGGATGTGTGGAGTTTACCAAAACCCCCTATGGCTGTCTCACTTCCCATTTTTTGTTAACTTTCTGGGTAGCTGCTGGTCAACTGCTTAAGCCAACCAGGACCACAGCAGCAGGCTAGCTGAGCAGAGGTTTTCCCCATGTTGCCCACTAAGTTACTATTGTTACTGACAGTGCCACCAGGCCTGGAATTTTGTCTATGATTTTTCACCACACTGGAAATTGAGCCCACAGCCTTTGTGCTGAGCTACAGCCCCGGCCCCCGGCCCCCCACCTTATGAGCCAGGGTCTGGCTAAGTCAAATCACTCAATTGTCATTTGTCCAGGTCCTGTGTTGGAATGGTTTACCTCCCAGCTCAGGACCTCTCTGGACCTCTCACTGGGGTCTACCACCAGCCATGCACACAGAAAAGAGCACAAGGTGATTCTCCTTAGGTGGTCATTTGCATTCATTAGTGCTACTGTGTTTTAGCTAGGGAGTGAGAGGTGGCATAGGAAAAGATCACGGAACCCTTGATGTCCAGTCTTTTCCTTATTATCAATGGGGGCTTTACATTTTTGCTCATTAAAATGATTGGTGGCAGGGTGTGGTGGCACATGCCTGTAATCCTAGCACTCAGGAGGCTGAAGTAGGAGGATTTCCTCAAGTTTGAGGTGAGCCTGGGCTACACACTGAGTTCAAAGCCAGCCTGAACTACATAGCAAGGCCCAGTCTCAAAAACAAAACCCACAAAGATTGGTGAAGGAAGTGTCAGTCCCCAACAGAAGAAAGCCCTGAACTAGTTAGGTGGGTTCCCAGAGGTGGAAGCAGTCTTTCTCCACTAATCTTGAGGACTTTTCCCCAGAACCATCAACAGGTACTGGCTCTCCCCTGCCTGTTTAGGGAGAAGAGTGGAGGCATCGATTCCCTGCCCACAGATTGCAGCAGCTAGAAGCAAAGAGAAGCAATTTTCCCACTAGATCCTGTATTTCCTTTCTTGGTCCTCTCTAGAACATCTGGCTTACAGTTATTCAACCTGGTGTTTTTGTAACTTAACATTTGATTTCATTTTAGAGAAAGCTACCCTCCTTTGCTATGGATCCCAGAGACAAACATGGGACCTATGTCAGTGTAATCATCAGCCAAAGCCAGTGGTTCCCCTCTCACCCTTCTTGTAGCCTGTACCTTTCTTTGGAGGTGGTCAGGGACTGGTGCTTATCCCTGCTTCAACTATATGAACTCATAAACTTCCTCAGGGGGAGGAAACTGGGTCAGAGGGCTGCAGATTCAGGTCTAGTGCCTTACATGCCCAGACTTTAAAATCCATTAGTGGAAGTATTAAGAAAATCTGAGGTTTTTCCCTTAAGTCTCTAACAAGGGCAAGGTAGCCCCAGTTTATCAGAAGGTTCACAACTTCCTGCATATGGTCAGAGATTTCTCAGAAAGACGGCAAGCTCAGGACTTCAATGACTAGGTGGCTTTCCTCAGGGATGAGGGGGGACTCTGGCCCAGTTATCTTCACGGAACAGAAGAGTTCCTTCTTACCTGTGACTTTTCTTGTTCTTGCTCTAAACCTATTCTGAGGGGCCACCCTACCAGTATGCCTAACCAGCAGATACATTTTTCGGTGGAAACACACAACAGAAACTTAAGTGACTGAGGCTCACCTGTGGGGGTTCCAGAGCACTGGTGGCCTTGCAGAATTTTACCTTGATTTAGCCAATAGGTCAGGGCAACCAAGGCCAACTTTCTATAGCCTCCTTGTCCTTTCTTATTTGAGTTCAGGGGACTGAGCCCCTGCTGAAAGTGGAACAAGAGATTGAGAGGGTGGGTGGGTGGGCATGGGTTCAAATGACAAACTGTAGCTCTTCTACAAATGTGGCGGTTTATTTTAACAAAATGTGAAAGGAGTAAATTTGACTGAAGCTCCGTGCTCATTGGAGTATGTGTCCATCAAATTCTCACTTTGACGAATGAAGGCTGCTTTGTGAACAAAGTGGACAGATAACATGGCAATCTCAGTTCAATAAAGTTTTGGTCAATACATCATTTACCCTCCTCCTGCCTCAGTAACCTCGGAAGTGTAATGGGCTGTGGGATGATCAGACTACTCATGTTCTGTGGCTCTTTGACTTCTCCGTATGAAAAATTTCTGTCCTGTAGTTGCAGGTATAGGCACTATAGGGTTCTAGAGAGGAAACTGGCTTAATGTGTCATAATTTGGTAAGGAAGGGAGAACATAACCTACCCTACCTCTGAAGAAACGCCAGGTCTCCTGGGGACTAAATGATTTTGTATCATCTAGGGTGTGTGTGTGTGTGTGTGTGTGTGTGTGTGTGTGTGTGTGTGTGTGAAAATTTGATTGCAGAAAAGTGTGGAGGAGTAATCTGGTCAGAGATGGGCCAATTCTTACCTACTAGGTAAGCAAATAACTAGCAGCAGGGAAAGTTTCTTCCTTGACTGAGAATTTTCTCCACCTTTCTCTGCCCTTCTTTGAAGGTGTCAAGTGCCTGTACTTTGCACCAGGGAAGCCAGCAGCCCCAACTCCTGGGGTTGGTCAGTGTGCTCCAGCCCCATAGTGTCCACCTGTGATCCAGAACTGCTGAGAAGTCCCGCCACTCCATCTGGACAGGTGCTTTGGAAGAAGGGGAGGTGAAAGTTTTTCCTGTGTGTGAACTACAGAGTTAAGGCTCAAAACTGTAGTTTGTATAAAAGTATTCATACCCTGCTTCTACATCATCTTAGTGATTTCCTCCTCGGGCATCAGTGACAAATACAATTAGCTGCACTGTAGGAACAGGATGCCACACCAGCCCTCATCACCTGCCACTCTTCCTTTAGGAATACCAATGAGGCAATCAGGAGGCTCTTTTCTTGGATAAACTGGCTGTTGAAAATAAGCTCTCTCCACCACTCCTAAGGAGGCCCCTGCTGCTGATTGAGTAGGGACCAGAAAGCCTGGAAGACAGGAGCACCATAACTGGGTCTAGGGGTTTTAAGGTCATGTGGAGTCTTGTGTTCCCTGGAATCCTCGGCACACCAGGAAGGCCCATCCCTGGTGCTGAGAACACAGCTGTCACCAGGCTGCTTTTGGTGGCTATGGGGAGACCTGCCACTTGCACTCAGGGGAGAGGCAGGGCCCAGAGATCAGGAATGGCAGCTGCCAGGACAGCTGCCCTGGAATCAGAGATGGGCAACTCTAGGCACTGTGATTCTCTCCCTCATAACTGTCAGTGGTCCAGGCTTCTAAATGACAACAGTCTTCCAGGTCCTAAAAAGGATTTTTCTTCTCCTTGGCTTGCTCCATTAGTGGTAGAAAGAGCAGTTCCCTCTGGCTGCTTCTCTGCCCCCTCGGCCTGTGGCATTGCCTTGTGGCTCCTGGGTGAGTCAGTCAAGCATCGGCAAGCTGGGTGGTGGTAGGTCAGCTATTGTTCATGTGCACTGAAGCTAACATGAGGTTAAGCCCCCTAAATCAAAAATAATTTGGCCTATCATCTTCTTTCTGCTTCCTAGATCATGGTTTTCCCCCATCTCTGAATTTTCATGGAACCTGCAGTAGATTTCATGCTCTTATCTTTCTTCATGAACACATGCCTTGGTCTGATTCCTCCCTCTCCACTTAAGGATGGACTTGAGGTTTCCCAGGTGCCTTGGCCTCAGCCCTCCTCTGCTGCCTGCGGCTGCGGCTTACGGGGCCAGGGGGCTGACAGGATAGGAGGGGCAGCCCTGCTTTTGTGCAGTAAGACTTCATGGTACATGCCTGTACCCTTCATTGCCTTCTCAGTCCTGTGCAGGAAGGGAAGACTGTCGACACAGTAGGGGTAATAAATACTGAAGGGGTAGTGTGACTGGGGCTTTGTGATCCTATATCCCAAGATGTCATGCATAACCTGAAACACTTGAGAAGAAGCAAAATGCCACTTTGACTCCAGTGCTGGCTCTCCTGTGCCTTCTTATTACAGTGATTTCAGTCATAAGAGGCAGCTCTAGCCCTTTACTCTGGAGACAGGGCAGGGATGGGCAGGAAGCTCTTCCTATGTGGAAGGGGAATCCATTGTGGAGAGGATCCGTACAATTTCTGCCCGCTGAGTGGGTGAGATGTGCTGGGTCATATGGACGATGGAATCCATGGCAACTTCTGGATTGGCTTGTACCAAGCTGGAGAGGAAGATTGGGAATGGTGAAGAAAAGAGAAGCAGAAGCATCTCGATTGGGGCAGCTTAAGAACTGCCCAGTAATCATGCTAACACTGCCCACTGCAGATGGCATCACTGCCTCACCTCCCTTCCTTTCCTGCACTAAAAACATCCCTAGCAGTCAAAATAGTATAAAGTGAACAGCAGAACATTTTGCTATGTCAGAAGGAAAACAAATAAGACAAAACTTCACAAAAACAACAGGGTTATTGATAATGGAGCCTGAATGAAAAGAGACCCCACTAGCTAAATGTGGGGCAATTTGGCATTAAAATAAGAACACTAATTATAAATTAGTGAAAAAACAAATTCACCAGTTCTCACCAATAATGAATATGAATATATATATATATATATATATATATATATATATATATATGAATGGGGATAAAGGACTTTTGCTTATAGAATTTGAGTGGTGACTGACAATTGGAGAGGCAGGGTGGAGTTGCAAAGTTATCATTTTGCAACCTCACTGTAAGGACTGGTTCAGGTAACAATAAGTGGATATTAAATCTAAGAGAAAATACTGATGGAGAATTAGTTCATGAACTTAATTCTTTCCACAATTCTGGTCCCAAGGACCAAATTGGATGAGAACTGAATCAAATTTCCCCATAAGGTCAACATTGAACCTAGCCATTGAATTTGATTCTGTTCTCATCTAATTTGGTTTGGGACTAGAACTATGGTGAACCGAGGCACCACTGCATTTACATGGCCTTAAAGTATCTTCCCACAGACCACTCATTAGATGCAAGGGGGAGAAATTGAGTAACATCTTGATGGGCAGATGAATATCTGTACCTCCAGATGGTGTACTCTGTGAAAGCCACATCATCATATAACATATAACCCAAATGGAATCATGAGGAAACATCAGACAACTTCAAAATGAGCAATGTTCTATAAATTGTTTTTTTGTGATGCTGGGGTAATTGAACCCTGTGGCCTTCTTTATGTTAGATAAGGGGTCTACCACTGAGCTATACTCTCAAGTAGATTGTTTGTTTATTTATTTATTTATTTTTAAGACAGGGTTTTGCTTTGTAGTTCAGGCTGGCCCTGACCTCACTATATAGCCCAGGCTGGCCTTGAATTTGCAGTGATCCTCCTACCTCAGCCTCCCAAGTGCTGGGATTAACAGGTGTGTGCCACCATGCCCAGATTCAGGTAGACTGTAGATAAAAGCTTTTAGTCAATGTTCAATATACTGAAGTTGATTATCTTTCTATGGCTATATATGAGAATATGCCTTTTCTTAGTGAGCATAGAAATGATAAAGCAAACAGGGTAAAATGTAAATAGGTAAATCTAGGTACAGATATATAGTGGTGTTCTTTGTACTGTTTTTGGGTTGGTAACTTCTCCATAAGTGAAATATTTCCAAATAGTATTATTAAAAACACCCCAGCCATGCTCCTAGAAAGCTACCACACAATCAGCTTTCCTCCCTCTCAGAACTGTTCATCTGGTTTGAGCATCTATATTCAGAACTAATAAGTAGGCACTGTGAGCTAAATCTTCATCAAGCTGAGATGACTAAGTACCCAGTAGCGAAGAAATAATTGTGCCCCGGGGCTATATTTGTATCTATATGTCAACTACAGCAGTCTCAGACAGCAAGAGACCATGGAGATGGGGGGCATCATCTTATGATCTCTTCTGAACTTTTTATTTCAAAGAAATGAGCTCCACTAGCCTAGAGGAGTCCCCTCCTGCTGCTGGTCTCACCTGCGGATCTGCTTGAGGACGTAGTCTCTGCTGATGTATTTGATGTTCTCCTCGACTACTGAGCGAACACCATCTTCCTCTGTCAGCTGCTTTTCCAGCCACTCCACCAGATCTTTATTATTGTCCCAAACGTAGGCCTGCAAACAGATGACTCTGGGTCAGACACCAGGGGTCAGGCCAGGCCTGGACACTTAACTACTCTGGATCTGGAATGTTCACTCCTAAAGCTTTTTCATTTAAAGACACTGTTTCCAAACTTCCTCTCTTGTTGGTGTTGGAGGAGGAGGAGACAGGCCCTCCCCTCATCTTCCTCCCTGCCTTCTGAGCTGCCCAGATGCATATTCAGAGCCTCCACCTGGGCTCTCCTAGGGTATCAGTTTTCATACTGGACTCTGTCCTCTTAGACCCATTTCACAAAGGCTAAAAGAGTTTAGTAACCTGACAAGTTTGAGACAAACAGGTAAGAGCCTACATTACTTAGTAAAGTATGCCTCAGAGGGAAGGGCTTTTTATGTGTATTTGCTTTCAGAGGAATTGAGAGATCATTTCCAAAGTGTGAGTCTCCAGGCCCAACAAGGCCTTGAACTGTGCTGTGGGCCAGGCTGTGGCAGCTTTCTGTGGTCAAGCTAACCCTAAGCTTTTAGTGAGATACAGAGGGGAATGATGTGAGGCAAGCCTCGCTGCTACCACAGAACACCAGGGCAGAAACCTACCTTGTATTATTAGCTATGTGGGTATGCAAAAGGGCTACAGAGTCTACAACCCTGGAGGCCTCATACCTCTTGCCTCCTGTTTTTCAAGATCATTTAACTGAGTATTTCCTAGGTAGCTGACTACATAATAATTCAGGAGTGTGTTAGAAGCCTAATAGCCTTCTCCTTGCTCTCTTCTCCTCTCATTTTCTTTACAAATCATTTAGGAATCATTTTGTTAATGGTTTCCGGAAAACCAAGTACCACCATTAGGGCTCATTCATATTTATGTCATTTTGTTTGGGTAATTAAACACAAAGCTCGTCATTTAAAGGTGTGCTATCCTTCTCTGTTATCACTAACGAAGTCAGAGTCAGAATGACAATGAGTTTGGTGCTGTAATTTAATAGGTGGGTTCACTGGGAACTCTGAGGCTTGCAGTGTGGTTACAGGAAACCCAGATACAGGCAATGGCACAAAAGCCACAGCTGCAGCTACAGGGCCTGCAAAGGCACAGACGCAATGTTCTCACATTATCTCAGAGTCTTCCCAAAGTGAGGAACTGGGTACAGGGCTGTTTTCCAACCTAGTTCATTCCTTGGAAAATACGGTTTCTTTTCAGACTCTCACTTCCCACCCGTCTTAGCTGGTCAGTTAGCTGTAACTGGTTATTTGCTTTGTGTAATTTCACTGACTTCCACATTTCTGAAACCCTTATGGAGCCCTTTACTTGTGAAGGGTGCTATGCCCAAGACTAACATCCCAAGGGCTCAAGGGCAGGAAGATGCTTTTGCTCCTAGGAAGTGCCTCCTGTTGACAAGGAGGACGGAAGCAGCACTGTTTTTCCTGTTCAATATGTGGTGGTCCTAACTCACTCATTCGGTCCAGTTTATGGATATACCTGGACACAAGACATTTTAATTTCTATCTCCATCACTTCTCCATGGTTTGAGAACTTACACCTTCCCCAATTTAGGAAGATCTGGAGAGAGGGAAAAAATAATAAAACAATGTTTCTTGTGTGTCAGAATGCAAAAGAAAAAAAAAACCCAACTAGATTTACACAAGAATCCCAAAGCCTTTAGGAGAATATTTAATACTCTTATTAATCATTTTTAATCCGTTTGCTTTTAATTAAGAAACAGCATGATGCTTTCCTATCAACATATGCCAGGGAGCAGATTAATTGTGGCTTAAGATAACTCTCCTTGATTGGTGTAATGTATTAGCTAACGAGATGCCTGCTTCTAACTACGTTCAGATACTACACTGGAAAGCCAGCTACCCTCTAGAGAAAACTCTTCTTCCTTCCCCTCCTGCAGCCACAAAGTATGCTACGTGTTTAAATTAAACATTTAAAAAATATCCCAGACAAGATTAGAGCAACACATTCCAAGTTTGATAGCTGCTTGAAAATATGGGCTCTCTACATAAAAGATCTGCTATTTACTCAAAGCAAAACTTGATGGCAGCCACCAAGCCCAAACCCAATCAAGTGTTGATCGAAGCCCAGAGCACATGAAAGGGATCAAGTCCTAATCAACTGCATTTTTAGCAAAAGTAAATAAACGTATGCACCCACAGTGCCCCTGGTTCTTCCCAACAGATCTAGGAGGGGTGAATAATACTGTTGTGAGTTGATTTGTTCTACCTGGGAAAAGCAAGTTGCCTGCCACCCTTAGAACGGTTGTTAAGACTCATCATTCCAGCCATCCACAAGGACAGGCCAACTCTGTTCCCAGGAAAAGAGCCATTATCATTTTCTTCCTTAGATTTATGAAAATGTGGTGATGAGTGCCAGTATTCCAATGTGGATTTTATTTATTTTTTGTTTTCTGAGATAGGGTCTCACTATGTAGTTCAGGTTGGCCTTGAACTCATTATGTAGCCTGGGCTGGCCTTAAACTCATGGGAGTCCTCCTGCCTCTGCCTCCGAGTGCTGGGATTATAGGCGTGTGCCACCACACCTAGCATCCAATGTGGATTTTAAAGAAGTATGAGTGCTAGGCTCACCTTGTGACAGGCCTGGGCCTGTCACCTGCACGACACTCATCCCAACCAGAGCCCCAGATACTGGCACTCTGCCACTGAGCATACCCCCAGACCTTTTAATTTTTTTATTTTGAGACAATTCCCCAGGCTGGCCTTGAACTAGCAATCCTCCTGTCTCAGCTTCCTAAGTAGCTGGGATTATGGGTATGCACCACAGTACCTGGCCTTCAACAGACACTTTATACCAATAAAATATCAATAATTAAACACCACAACACACAGTCTGCCCTACCATATGTTTTCTTTCTTTCTTTGGTACCAGGAATTGAACTCAGGACCTTGTGCTTACAAAGCAGGCAGTGGCACCACTGAGTTAAATCCCTGGCCCACCATGTTTTCAATAGACATTTTCTCTCTGCATCAACGGATAAATATCTCAGGTACCACTTGGCCTCACTAACTGTATGCAGTAATTAGTCTATCTTACAAAATCGAAATGAGCTGTTGGAAAAGTTTTATTACTTGCCAGATGTAGTGGCGCATGCCTGTAATTTCAGTGCTCTTGTCTGTTTGTTTTGTTTTTTGGTACTGGGGATCGATAATCTCAGTGCTCTTGAGAGGCTGAGGCAGGAGGAAAACAAATTCAAGCCCAGCCTGGGCAACTTGGAGAGACCCTGTCTCAAAATAAAAAATAAAAAGGAGCTGGGGATTCAATCCCTGGTACCAAAAAAAAAAAAAAAAAAGGAGCTGGGGATATAGCTCAGTGTGAAGACCCTGGGTTCAATCCTTAGTGCCACCAAAAAAAAAAAAAGTTTTATTACTAACATAGCAGAAAGCTGTTAAGCTCTCCTTGGGCAAAGATACAGCAGAGCCAGGTAGTAACCAGGGCACAACTCATCCCTGCTGTGAGCCCTGATTACCCTTCCCTACAAATAACACACCTTGTGACCTGTCTGGGGAGGTTCCTGCCAGTTCTGACTTTGAGTTCAAGAGCAGCCTAGTCCAGTGAGGTAAGGGTGGGATGACACACACATCCTGTAATAAATGCATATTTCAGGAAGGTGTTTTCAATACACTGTATTACACTTACAAGGCTAAGACTTACTGAACAGAAGCTTTGGAAGCAGTGTGATTTTTTTTCAGAGGATTTGGAATAAAACAGCAAAAGGCTATATAAACCTTAGTGGTTTTGGAACCCCATTTCCTGGAAGCCACCCCACCTCAGTCCCAGGCCAACAGTAAGGTAGAGCAATGCTTTCCAAGTTCTGTCTTCCCTCCTCCTTCCCTGGCCCTATATAAGAAGTTTGGTGCATGAGACTTGGCTGCGGGTAGTAGCTTGAGGCCAGTGGAGATCAAGTGACTCCATCAGTGGTGCTTTTTCTTCTATTATTCTCACAAGGACCTCCAATGGAACATTCATTCCATTGGGGAAAGTGAGTAGTTGGCATCTGGACACTAAGAATGCATTATGGCACCAGGCTGTGGGAACATTAGAATAAGCCATATCAAATATTCACTGAATGTCTCCAGTGCTCAGGAGCCAACCTCCTGCCCATCATGAAGTCACATACCTTCAACTCTTAGTCTATGTTGTTATTTTTAAATTTCTAACATGGTGGGGCCGGGGATTTAGCTCAGTGATTTCGCCGCCTGCTGCGCAAGTGCAAGGACCGGAGTTCGATCTCCGGTACCAAAAAAAAAAAAAAAAATTTTCTAACATGGTGTACTGAGGGAACTGCTCCACATTTACATAGTGTTATCGAAACTCACTGAATCCTGTAACATTATAAACATCACTCCCATTTTACATATGGAGAAATGGAGACACAAATAACATGCCCAGATCTTAGTAAATGGCAAAACTATGGTCCCAAAAGTTAATCCACATTCTTCTCATTGTTCCATGCAGAATCCTAATCTCAATTTCTACTACTGGGGTCGGGAGGGAGGTGAAGATCAATGAGCCTGTTTAAAAAAACCATGTCTCAAATTGTGAAGCTAAGAATCAAGACAGAAAACATGCTCATGATACAAATGTGTGCCATGTTCTTATGATCCAATTTAAACTACAATTCTTGTTATATTTTTCAGGCAGCTATAATGATGCTTTGCTTCTGCCTGCAGTGAAACTATGACCCATAAACCCTACTATTTCCTACAGTAGGACCATCCCAGTGGATTCAAACAGAAATTCTGTAACTCATGTTAACAGATACTTCTGAAGGAAACAGAAGAATTATATTCCTCAATTATATAACATTCCAGGGTCAATTTCTGTCCTAGAATCTCTTTTTTTCAGGAATAAAACTAAAAAAAAACAAATAAAAAAAAGAACAAAATAAGATTAAAAAAACCAAAAAACACAGCATGGCTGGTAGAGGCTTAACACTACATGGCTTTCCCTACCAGTAACCACAGTAAGGATTAGAGGGTCATTTCTTGGTGGGAAGGCAGGGTCTAGACTCTGCCAGTCTTTGCACTTGAGTTTCAAAGCATACAACATCTGTCATTTTTTGAAGAACAATAACAAAAAAGGTGGTTTTAAGCCATTTCCTAACACCAAGCAGTTCCACATCAGCCCTTCAGAGGCAGCACAGACAGCTTCTGAACACTGCTACACTCTTCTCTCAAGGACACTACAGATTTTATCACCTCCCATTCCACCCCACTAAACTAGGTTCTGCTGAGCCTGCAGAATTTGGAAGGTTTCAAAGCCACATGCCCTGACTTCATAGATCTTCCATCCTTACTTCCTCTGTGTGCCCTGGGATGAAAAGTTGATGAGAACGCTGTCTTCTGAACACAGAGGCAAGGCAAATAGTCCCAATTCTTGTACATAGCTGGTCCCCAGTGCTTGGGCAGCCTCTTCCTGAACTATGGGGCTGGGGCTGTCTTCTGTATTTGAGTTCTAGCCAGAAGCCTGTGCACATGCAGTCAACTGTTCTCCCCAGTGACAAGAGATAGCAATGACCTATTCAGATACACTGTCCCCTGGGAGCAGGATGCTAAGGAGCAAGTGAGGGACCTATCATTTCATGCTTGGAGAGAAGCTATTCCTTCCTCTCATCCTTTTGCCTACTGAGGCTATGCATGTCCATTAGTGACTAATGTGGTAGGAAGTGGTGCAGGCCTCTCCTGCCCCCCACCCCCTACTACGCACACATTCCCTTTACCTATCTGGCCACTGTTAACTGAAGAACAACCTCTTATTTTATACTTGCGTGACTTTCAATGCCAACTTCCACTAGAAGCTGCCAGTAGCCACTGACAAAACTGTCTCTCTCAATTATGATGCCACAGACTGACCTTAACCTGAACCAAATGTTAGAAAAGGCTGCACTCACCTGCTGCACATCTGAAATATTTATCCAAAGAAGCGTCTCAGTTGTGAAGAAATGGGCAGACTTAACAAAAAGGTGACTGTTAGAAGCATCCACTTCAGTGCCTTTAAAAATTTTTTTAATTTTTTTTTTTTTAGTGCCTTTAAAATTGATGGTGAATCTTGGGGTTTCTTGCTGAGAACTATTAGAGAAGCCAGGCAACACTTTCCTGGAAGAGGCTGGTGTGCCCCTCTTAATAGACCAGGACCCTACAAGCCACTGCCAGCCAGCCCTTTACCAGTATTCTAACCTGGCAGTCACTAAAGGATTTGATCAGAATGACAAATATATTTTCAACACATATAACCAATATTCTGACAAAATATACATAACATGTATGATTTAATCCATATATTAGCTATTAATAAGGTTAATTTCTTTTCTTTTGCCATGGTGGTGGGTACATGCCAGGCAAACACCCTGACACAGAACTACCTCCCTATCCACAACCTTCTTTTTCTTAAAAATGTGTAGAACTACGGGCCGGGGATGTAGCTCAGTGGTATCGCCACCTGCCTTGCAAGCATAAGGGCCCAAGTTTGATTCTCGGTACCAAAAAAAAAGTGTAGAACTAAAGGTTCCAGCTTTTTCTCCTAATCCTCCCATGTACTCTCTTGTGCAGTCCACTATGACAGGGCAATGCACATGCCCTTGCTACATCCACCTGTGAGGAAAGAGCACCAGGAACAGCACCTCAGTGAGGTCACTGCTGCAAGGCATGAACATTTTCCATGAGATCACCCTAAGATAGTTTCCTGCAAACAGGCTGGATATTTCCTTCCAGATGACTTGAAATTGGATCTTTAGTTGTTGTAGCATCTCCTGCCTACATTACTCCCACATCCTTAGCGTCCTGCTTCTACCTCCTTCAATTCTGTCTTCTGTAGCTCCCCAAGTGGTATTTTAAAAATGTATATAAAAAAATAGATATCAGAGCATGTCACTCTGCTGCTCAGAATCCTCAGTGGCCTCTTGTAGATCTCAGGACAAAGTTCAGACTCACCAACAGCTTACAAGGCCTTGTGTGATCAGGTCCCCTACCCCCACCTTCCTATCTGGCACCCAATCTCTGAGTCACAATGAAACGTGCAGTTCCTTGGAAGCACGCTCCTTTGGTTATCAGGTGTGGGATCATACTATTGCTTCTGCCTGGACTCTGTCCCACTTCCAGTCCAACCTTTCTTATGGTTCACTCTAACTTTGCTTTTAAGTCTCTACTGAGACAGCACTTCCTCCCAAAGTCTTCCCAGACCCTCCCACTTCTCTAACGTTGGGTGTTGGCTCTCAGACTACACTCTGTGCTGTCTTTAATGCAGGGCCTCTGACTCTTCTTGTCTCCCCACTGAGATGAATGGACAAAACAATACCTGCCTCTTTCACTACCATGTCCCCATGTCTTAGTACAGCGTCTGGTATAAGCATTCAAAATAGTTTGCTGAATGACTCACAAGCTGAAAACATGTCTGCCCACCTCTACTGACAAGATGTCATGTTACTGGAGTGTGTGTATGAGGAAGAAGGCTTAGGCTCCTAGGTCCCCTTTCCACTCAATGGAAAAGATGTCACTCAATGTAACCCTCAGGTAGGAATGAAGAGCACAGCATGAAGGTATCCCACCTACCTTCACTGTTCCTTCCACTTCCACAAACCAGCGCCTCAACATGGCCTGGATCTGGCCATCAGTCAGCTCAGGGTTAGCATTGTGGATTTTCTTCTTGACCAGGTCCTCCAGCAGGAGACGCCTCAGCCGCCAGTAGAAGAAGGTGCGGGATGTTTTCCAGTCCAGGATGTCCTACACATAGATTAAGAATAAATTTAGTTATACAAGCCCCAATCCCTGCTCAGCATTCAATCTAGAGGAATCCTACAGGCATAAAAACTTACTCCCTAGGGCCGGGGATTTAGCTCAGTGGTTTCGCCACCTGCTGCGCAAGCTCAAGGACCCAAGTTCGATCCCCAGCACCAAAAAAAAAAAAAAAACACCAAAAAAACCTTATTCCCTAGGTAAGAGCTGACAGTGAGTCTGGGCACCTACAGGGGGCTGGGTATGGTGGTGCACACCTGTAATCCCAGTACTTGGGAGGCTGAAGCAGGAGGATCACCACGAGTTTGAGGCCAGCCTGAACTACATAGTGAGACCTTGTCTCAAAAAAACAAAAACCACCGCCCTCAAAAAACAAAAACAAAAAAGTACCTATAGGGGTCTACTAGGACAGAACCATAGCCCACATGCTCTGCTGACTGTGTGTGTAGCCATGGGCCTGGCGAATGCTAACCCTGCCCATGACTAAGATGTTCTGAGGAAGAGACTGAATTCCCAAGTAGCCACAGATGGAAGAGCTGGTTTTGAGTAGATGGCTGAAACAACTTGCATGCAGAGCAAAGGTGAATCAGCTGCTCCTGGAGCCTTGAGACTCTCTGAGGATCACATGAGCAGCTGTTCCCAATGAAGGCTCACATGACTCATTTTACCACCAATGAAATGAAGCTTGTATCCTGGAGTCCAAGAGACCTAAATCATACATTGTTTTAGGATAATAATGGATATAGAAAAACGAAGTCTTGAAAAAGTTGGAAATGAATCTGCACAAGCTGTTTTAATCTGGCTCCAACAGCTCCCTGCCTGTAAGCCTATGTGCACGACGCACTCACTTGCAAGTCTCTGACAAGCCAGGAGAGGTAACAACCATTGTACTTACATTAATAACACCCTTCTCCTGCATCCGGCCTGGTGTGTCGTGCAAGTCAGCAAACTGCACGGCTACCTGATGGTAAATGGGAATTAGGAATTCCTCCCGCTCCTTCAGCTTGTTCTCCAGCTCCTTCCGCTCCACTGGGCTTAGCTCTGGGGTGCCTGCAATTAGATAGACCTGCCTGTCACACTCTGTGGTGACCAAGAATCTCTACATGGAGCAGCCACAGTCCTGGGAAGCTCAACACCACCCCACCCCCTTCACTCTGGAGCCTGACTCTCCATGGTCTTCACTACCTCTTTGCTGCATAACAGGAATCTACAAGATGCCAGTCCTGATCTTATTTTGTTTGCCACAGGGAACCCACATGTCCTTTTTTTCCCTGAGGAAGTCACAAGTTTGAAAGCGTGATGGCAGCTCTGCTTCCCAGGCTTCTCCTGACCAGTTACCATCACGTAGAGGCCTGCACCTCTTATCAGACTGCTAACAGCCAGGACCCTCCTTCCCCACAAGAGGCCAGGGCAGGCACACTAACACCATGCCCCTCCCCACTGACCAGGTTTAGAGGGGCCAGACCATTCCAATGTCGAATGTGTTCTCTTGTGTTCTGAGCACAAACCAGCAGCTCTAGTTTCTCCATGTCCACACGAGTTACCTGCCAAACTGGTAAGCACCTAATAACTCCTAAACTTGTAAGCTATAGTATCTCACAGCTTCTGATCTCAGGTTTGGATACTCTTAACCTCAAATTAGTAGAATCCAATCTAATTAGAGCCAGATCTATATGTCTCAAGTTAGCTTAGTAGATTATAGCCCCTGGTTTTCCAGCTGGCCTGCTACTGACAGCCAACCCTGACCAGAGTGACAAGACATTCTAGTTCTTGGGCTAAAAGAAGAGGAAGAGAAAAAAATAGTTCACAAGCCCTATTTGGATCATTGAGCATATAAATACATAGTACCCTCACTTAACAGAAAGGACACTTTAGAATTCCTTATAGCAAGGAGGGCCTCCTCTCCCAATCAATAGTGTCCTAGTACAGGTGTTGCTATGTTGTGTTTTTCTTCCTAATTACTTTCAGAATGGGATCTGCAATCAATACGGAAAATTTAGCTGCCTGCCTAGTAAGGAGTAAGTCTAGCTGAAAGAGCAATAAGTGACAGCCCCTGGTGTTGGGGACAACCTGAAGTTCTTTGTCACCAAACCTGACAAATACAGGAGCACAAGTGATGGGATAGAGAAGAGAAAGGTCTATTTCAAGCGTGCCTGTCTGGGAACAGGCCTTGTTTTTTTATGCCACTATGAATCATATGCCATAAATAGCCTTGGGCTGCTGAGTGAGCTATATTACATAAACACATGTTAACAGAACAGGGACATAACTATTATAGCTAGTTTCATTTTTATGAGTTTTTTTGGATACCCAATTCCACCTTTTTTTCTTTAAACTCATCTCTATTTTATAAGTGTGGTGAAGAGTGCTAATGAACATCTTTTCTTGGGCTGTCACACAGAGGGCAATCACTGACCTGCTGCCTTAGGCTCCTGATGCCTCAGCAGCCTTCTTTCCAAAACAGGTGAACAACATGATCACACTGGGCCTCATATCAGGGGTGACACCATGGCCCTTGTATTCTACTATGGCCCTGCCTGGAGACCTAATGGGAGGAGGGCTGTCAGGTATCTTCTGGCATGAGACTTTCTTAGATAGCATGTCCTTGATACAGAAGCTAATGCTCTTCCTTCACCACTGAAAGGAACCAAGCAAGACTTTGTAGAAAACATTTGATTCCAACACTGTAGATAGAGGGACTATAAGATGAGTGTGGGAACATGCAACAGAAATCAAGGAAACAGTTGGTGGGGACATGTTAGAAGGTGTCTGAATGTGTTCCGACTGGCCAAATCTGAAACAACTTGAGCACCAAAACAAATTACTTATTAGAATATTTATGGAATAAAATAAGAATCTATCTTGATATAAATAATAGGGGAGAAGAGAAGAGGAAAGCTCTCCTCACAGCAGAAAGAAAATTACTATTTTATAACCATCATATTAACTGATTCTGCCAAGAATCATCAATGGATGTTAAAACTAGTGGGTGAGTCTGATGAGGAACAGAATATTACAGTCTTAAAAGTATCTCTTTACAAATCAATTAATTACAAAGGGGAACAGGGCAACTTTATAGTGGATTAACCTAGTAAACAAAACCTTAAACAAGTAATGAAAGTTACCATCCCTGGAATAGGACTGGCATCATGTGCTTCCTGGTGTGAGGTGCCAAGGACAGAACAACACTCCTGCAATATCCTTGCCAAACACACAAGATCTGAATCTAACCATGGGGAAATGTAAAACAAATGTAAACTGAGGAATATGCTACAAAAGCAGCCTGTACTCTTCAAAAAAAGACCATGAGAGACAAAGGCTGAAGAATTATCCCAGATTTAAGGAGACTAAAAATACATGACAATGAATTGCAATGTGTGGTTTGGGATTAGATTTTAGGTCCAAAGAGAAAAAAGAAAAAGCTATGAAGGCCATTACTGGGACAATGGTAAAATTGTAATATGAATCGTGCATTAGACAATGGTATTACATCAATGCATATAGTTCCTGATTTTGATAAATGTATGGTGGTTATATGAGAGAAAGTCTATGTTCTTAAAAACACATGAAATCATGAAATATTTATGGATAAAGGAGTATGCTATCTACAGATTACTCTAATAGTTCAAAGAAAATTTGTATGGGCATTAAGTGAGCAAGAATAAACATACAAAAAAAAAAAAAGAATGAGCATACACAAATAGTGAAGCAAATGAACAGAATGTTAACAGTAGGTGAATTTAAAAAAAAACCATCAGCAGTTCTTTGTAGTATTCTTGTAACTTCTCTGTGAAATTATCAAATAAAATTAGCCAAACTAAAAGCTTTTCTTGGTTATCTAACACATATAATCAATAATCAAAAGTAGTATTTTTGAACTTATTTTTAAAATTATATACTAATTTTAAAATTTTTAATTTTTTTTTTGGTACTGGGGATGGAACTCAGGACCTTGTGTTTGCTAACCAGGCGGTGGCACCACTGAGCTAAATCCCTGGCCCTAGTTTTTGTTGGTTTTTTTTGGTACCGGGGATCAAACTTGGGTCCTGCTGGTTGCATAGCAGGCAGTGAAACCACTGAGCTAAATTCGGGGCCCTAATTTTTGTTTTTTTGAGACAGGGTCTTGCTATGTAGTTCAGGCTGGCCTTGAACTCACTAAGTAGCCTAGACTGATCTTGAACACACAGGTGATCCTGCCTCAGCCTCCTGAGTGCTGGGATTATAGGCTTGCATCACCACACCTGGCTTCAAAGCTAGTATTCAGACCTGGATGCCATTCTATGTGCTTTAAATCTCTTAACTCATTTAATCTTCAAAACAACCTTATGAGGTTGGTATTCTTATTATTTCTACCTCATAGCTGAGGAATCTGAGGCACTGAGAATTTACAAAACTTGTCAAGGTCACAAAACAAGACAATAACAAAGAGAGTTTGTTCCCTGAAGTTTTTAAACACTGTGTTATGTTTCTTCTTGCTTAGTAGGGGCAGTAGGTATCCCTTTCATTTCTGAAAAGGGCAAGTGATGATGGCAGATTCCTGGCTGACAGAGCTGAAGTTCCATTGTAGTCCCATTCCATAACTAAGACCAGGCCAATGTCTCCAATGATTCCTACCCCTTCTGTAGGTGAGATGTGATTTTGATAGCTAAGATTTAAGAGTAACTTCTTCTTACTGCGAGATCAAGAACTAATATGACAGCCATTTCAACAGTCTCTCTCTGGTTGAACAACCAACATCACACTTGAATGCACATATACATATATGTGGACCACATTTTTTTTTTTTTTTGGTACCGGGGATTGAACTCAGGTCCTTGTGCTTTCGAGGCAGGCAGCGGAACCACTGAGCTAAATCCCCAGCTCTTGTGGACCACATATAACACACCATTTATAGCATTTACTGTATGTCAGGCACTGCACTCAAATCTTTCAGGATCACACAGCTCATTAGTCACCATGCACAATTCAGAGATAGGTCTGGCCAACTGTTAATACTGCTGCCAGGCCAACTATCTCAAAGTTACTGAGTGCTTTCCAAGTTGCTTCACAGACATTATCTCTGATCCTAGTAAGAACCTAACCTTACAGGCAAGGTATCTATTTTATAAACAAGAAAGCAGAGACTCTGAAATGTCAAGCAACTTTCCCAATGGTATCTAGCTCTTAAGTAGCAAAGTCAGGATTTACACTTGGATCTAGCTGCCTTCAAAGCCTGTGTCCTTTCTCATTAAATGGTGTGGTAGGTGGTCAAAGCAGTTATCCCTATAGTAACCACAGAAGGGAGACCTGCTGGAGAGTTGGTTTTGATAGCAAGGGATTAAGAGCAAGGTTGGCATAGGGTGCAGAAGGAGGATATAAGGGCTGAGGAAGAGCTTCTGAAATAAGTCTTTGGCTTGACCATGTTGGAGGGACAGAGGAGGCTGGTTCCTGAACTAACAAAGGTCTCACCTACCCAGTCAAGCTCTTTTAGAGCTTTGAAAGAATAACACTTATAATGCTCTGGCCCTCCTGAGGCTAGGAAGTTCACAGAGCCTTCCCCCAAAGACCACTGTGTTTGATTTCTTCAGTGATGTCTCTGATCACAGTTAAAGACCCATGTCAAAAAAGGCAGCCTAGCAAAGGAAAGACAGAAGCCAAAAATGTGTTTCAAAATGCACAGAAAAAAGCCATGTGTACTTTACTTTAGGGAAAAACTGGTTTTTAAATTTTTATTTTCTAAAAATAAAAGGCTGCTCTTAAGCTAGTCATACCCGTGTGTTGCACATGGAAGGCCCTTCTCTTCTTGTACAGCAAAGCAGCCAGCCCCAGTAATGATTTAGGGGAGATTAACAAATATGTCAATGTCTATTTTCTGCTTAATTTAAAAGCAGCATCTATAAAGATTTTTGACTTCTGAACCCTGTTCTCCTGAAAGAAAGAAGGTAAGAATGAGGAGGGGGATAAAGAGTGATTATCCTATCATTGATCGTTTGTCAGGAGCATTTCTTATTCACTGGACTATTGTAAAAAGCTAAGCTCTCGATCAATCCTGTAAGCTCCCTGTACAATTA